CTGGTGCAAACGGCCGGTAGAACGAGAAGTGAAACTTGTTTTCGATGAATCTCCTGAGCTAACATTGTTGCTCCCCCTAACAACAAGCAGTGGGTTTTGAGGAGGGTTGGGCAAGCATTTGGAATGGAGAGGAACATCCGCTCGGGGCAAGATGGACGGCGGACCCACTCGACTCGGCTGGCGACGGGTCGAATCTCGTCGGGTCTCGGAAAGGAAAGGAGAGGCGATTGAGTGCAGGAATGGACGACTTGAGGCGAATGTGTGAATGAAGCGTGAGGCATTTTGCCCACCTCTTGACTGGGCGTCTGCGTGGGCGGGTCTCGACGCCCAGCTCTTCTTCACGCCTCAACACAAAAGTGCCCCACCCTCTCTGCCCCAGCAGCTGGTTGGCGCGCTGAGCGGCAGACGAGTCGTCGGATGGTATGTTAAAGGGCCAGAGCAAATCAGCGGCTCACTCACTTTTTTCTGCCGGCTCCCGCTGGTACGGCCCTTCAGACACAAACGCCTCTTCACCCCTCCACTGGGGCAAGTTGTCCACAGGCGGTGTAGGATTGTATCACATTTTCCTTACATCTGTAGCATTTCGGGAATATTCAAAATTCGGTTATTTTTCATTATCCCAACATGTTTTTTGGGGGAATAAATTGCCCAATCCCTCCGTCTTCTCGGAATCAGGATTGGCACCCTTTGCCGTCTAGCCGGCTGGTGCTTGCGTCATCGGTGCGAAAGTGACGGTCGTCACCTCAAAAACTCCTCCACTCATCGCATCTTTACTGTTTTGGTACAGGAAAATGGCATTCTAGCACCACCCCATCGGCAGTTGGCCTACCCGATTAACTGGGCCCGGCCACGTTAATGGTTTATGAGTCTGCGCTCAAAAACTGTACCACTTTCTGTCCGGCTGATTTTTAGATTCGGAATCCGATTAAAAACGCTTAGCTTAACAATTTATTCTCCTAAAACCCTTTGACTGAATCACTTGGTTGACCAGACAAACCGGCCTCAAGCCTGTCCCAAACTCCCATCCCGCTCCGCCTTCACCTCCCAGTACAGACGAGGTGAGCCAATCCGAGACCCACTCATCTGCTACCCACCTCCGCTTCCACCTCCACGTCGTGGTCCATTTGGCCACTTTCCTGCACCTCCTTGGCTCCGGCGACTCAACAACCTTCACAGACTCGGACCCCGGAGCCTGTGGTAGATGGCAGACACACAAATAAGGTACCTGCCAGACAGAACCAACCCCAATGGCCAGATTGACTGGGCCGACAAGTTGCCGTCCACCTTGTCGCCGACCGGACAACGGCGCGTGGCCGTCAACCGAAACAACCTGTTCCGGCCTGTCCAGAATCGGCTTCGCTTCCCACTTGATACGCAAACTTGATTTGTCCTCCATTTCAGAACACCTGCGCAGGCCTTTGGTGGGTTGGTGCTGAGGTACAGGACGACGAAAACATTGAGAGGTGTGCTAATTTTATGGTAATTCGTCGAGGCATGCAGGGGCTTGTGCTCCATCTTGAATACCGACCCGTGTCTACCACATCCTCGGACGTCTCCAGCCTTGACGCTTCTCAAGTGCCATTTTATTGTTGTAGACTTGGCCGACTTTGGGCTGTACTGGCCGAATCCTGCCCGGGGGCACGCTCGGAGTCTGGGCCTGGGGTTGGTGACCTCTCGAAAGCGTAGGCGGTCGGCCCATTTGAAAGGCAGAGGCCTGCAAAAGTGGGCGAAACGAATAAAAAATTAACACTTCATCTCACCACCGGAACCAGAAGGTCAGGCTTTTCAGGCCTGCCCCACGGAAGAGCACCAGGCGTGGGTTTGAGTATGAGCGAAGCCGGTAGACCAACAAATCAGAAAGTGTGTCTCTAATTTGCATCGCGAAGATAAACTATGTGCGAGGTATTTTGTCGTGAATTAGCCCTACCGGAAACAGGGTGGAGATTGTAATGGAGGAGAAAGGAGTGTGCAGGATTGTGCAAAGAAGGCCTCGATTCACGGGCCTGCAAATCAGAATGAACCCGATCCCAATAAATAATTCCATGATTTGTTTGGTCAGCTCATGCTTAACCCACGTTTTCCAAGCTTGCATACAATCAAGGTTCCAATACGAAAAAACACGAAAAGGTGTCCAAAACTGCCATTTCACACATTCCTTCCGACCAAATTTTCCGATGAAATGAATAGTCGAGCCATACAAAACTGAGATTTTCATTGTATAAACTAAGCTTTTATCTCCAACCTCATCCCCATCATGAATGCATCCGATTTCACTTATTTCCCCTGCTAATGTCATGCACTTTTTGCACTTTTCCTTCCTGCCTCAACCAATCTTTATTCTCAGCATCTGAGCTTACTTATTATAAATTAATTTCTTCTCAGACTTCCTCATCTACAATTAGAGACACAAAAATGTGTGCAAACTATCGAATTAAAGGATAAAGTGTGAAAAATGGCATTTAAATTTGAAGTGGGACATTAACAAATAAAGGGGTTTAAGAATAAATTGTAAATAAAAGTCAAAATAAATACATAGATAATAATATAACAATAGCTAAATAAATAAAAAGCTAAACAATTATATATCTATATGCTGATGTATATTATTTTATTGATGTGTCTTTTACCTATTTTTTGGGTGGACCGATTGTAATGGTATCTTTGATTTGCTCATGACTGGTATTGCATATCACTACCTCAGCTAAAAGGCTTTTATGAACAATTACTAGCTTGGACTTGAGCAATAAGTCACGCAAATTCTGGCTACGATGAAATGAAGAGAGGACCTAACTGAATGACTGCTTAATTCGCGTGGTTTGGAAGGAGATTGTGATAGTTTCGAAGTAAGCACGTAGGGCCACACCACAGATATAATCGGCTCTCCTCAAAGCACATCCTTCGAAGGCCTATTATCTCGATGAGCACTCGGGCATTCGCTCTTAAACTCGCTATATTACTCACGGTTTGTAAGTATTATGTCGGTCATAATGTATCAAATGTAATATCTTAGGGGTGAAGTAATTTCTGGTAAGCGGCACATCAAGGGATCGAAAAGCCAGGAGAGGTTTAGATAGAATTCATTTTGGAATTTTGGAGGCAAAAAAGAGCCTTATCTTTATTTCCCCATCATCCACTGGAATCAGAGGATCCTCACGACAGTCCGGAAAGTCAGCGCTAACACAACACTTTAGTAAGCCAAATGGCTAAATCGTAGATACAAAATGGGTTGACCTAGTTGTCACAACTTGGTCTTGTTGTTCGGGAGACTTAGTAGAACGACAACGAGGTCAACCCACTTCTATAAATAGAAAGGAGACTGCGACCATACCGAGGGCCACACCATCTTGGTCTTCATATCGTCGTAGATAAAAGCCTGAAATTCTACGTCACCCTTAGTGGCATGGAATTTATTTTACCCTTTTTTCACAAAGTAATTTATGGCGAATTATTGATTCATCTCGCACCGAGGTGTCCAAAGGATATAACCCTTGAAGGCGTATTAAGCAACAAAGTTAAGTTTTGCTTATGCACAATTTTAGAAATATTATAAAAGCTTTCGACTTGCATCATTATTTAAGTCTTATTCAAGCTGAAGAGACAAATA